CAAAGTTCACCAGAGAGCTGTAAATCCATCTGTGCATGTTCTGACCTTCAGCACTGGTAATAAAGACTGCGGTTGGGACACTGCTCACAATTCTGTTGATTTGGCATGGGAGGACTGAACTAGGGATGTGACCGGGTAACCGGCAGTCCTGCTCACCCTGCATCCTGAGTAGGAGCGGCACCCTCGTCCATGACCCTCTTTAATCAGTTAGCCGGTTAAACACTACATTTAACAGTTAACTGGTTACACAGGATTTTATATCACTGGACTGAACCTAGTTCACTCTCCTGTTGCTGCAAGGGCATGAGGAGTAAAAATGAATTTCTCACCTGACCCAAGAAGGCGCCTTTTCTAGGCAGCAGGGGTGGCCCTAGACTAGCTGCCAGCAACTGGTGCCCTAGGTGAACCATGCAATTGGCGCCCCCCCCCCCCCTCCAAACCCCTCAATGATATTGCACCACCATTTGGCACCCCATTTAGCTTGGCGCAGTAGGCGACAGCCTACTTTGCCTATATGGACGGGCTGCCTCTGCTAGGCAGACATCTTGCTGAACACAGCCTCCCTTGAAATTCCTGACTTTTGCATACCCCTCTTGAGTCTTGCCAAAGTGGAAAATGCAGAATGCACTGAAATGGTTACCACGGAAAGGCCAAAGGAAAGCAGATGCTCCCAGCATTCACCAACCTGAACCCATTTCTGTCACATCCATGCACTTTGCAATATCCGGGAGGCTCAGGAAAGCCTCCCAAGATAGTCTCCCTTAGCCTTAAGCCTCCCAAACAAATGAGATCACTCTAATCACAGATCACTGCCTTTCAGCCAGTCCTCCTCGTATATGAGATCATAACCCCTTTGCTGCAGAAGAGACTCACAATGGGCCCTTTCATGGGAGGTTGTTGAATGAACATCAGCAAAACACAAACAGTCTGGGTTGCATTTGCCATTTGAAGATTCATGAGGATCAGGTTTCAAAGTTACAGTTCTGGTGGTGGAGCCCTTTTCCCTCCCTGCCACTTGGGGACGGAACGGGGGATTGTTGTGGATGACTGAGTTTCTGTTTCCAACATATTGAGATCAGCTAATTGACAGTTAGTAAACATGTCCAAAGACTGCTGGGCCCTGTGTGTGGATGGGGGAATATCGCTAAGGAGCATATGGCACTGTGCCATGTTCTATAGCTTGTCTAGCTGTCTACATTAACCTTGCAGCAAAGTGCAGCCTCTCTGTTTAAACAAAGAGTGTGCATCAGATGGGGAGGGGGCCGGAGGAGGATGCTACTCTGAGAACTTTGTGGCAGCCAGACGCAGGTGAAGGCACACATACGTGGTGGCAATTAGCAAGCATTGAGCACAAATTCCTTCTTTAAACTTTTTCTGGCCCAAAAGAAAGTCTTGCATGTTGGATGCCAAGTCAGTCTCTTGCAGGAGCATCCTTTGGCTCGGGTAGGAATCTCTGCTCTTTTTCTCATGAGCGCTACTGGATTTTTTTAGGCCTACATTGATAGTACTCCTTATTTTCTCATTGCTGCCCCACTAAGAGAGGCTTAAAGCTCTAATGACTGTGCCAGGACTAGCTCTTGAATGTCATGCATGTTAATGCGTAGCACAGTGGGGGGTAAAGGAGAGCAGGCGTCTTTAATTTCCATGCCAACTGCCACGGCTGCTGAATTGCTTACTATTATAGGGGAGATTTCAAAAAGCTCTAGGGCATTTAGGACCACGGACCCCATTGACAATGAATAAGACTCATGCTTCTAATTTCCTGAAGTGTTTTTAAAACTCCCCCCAACTACTACTGATAATAAATACCAAGTTTCTTTCATAGTTCTTTATACAGGGCTCGGACAACAGCGGAGGTCATGCTAATGTGGAACAATAGTGATGAGAGGTCATTCAACCAATCACTGCCCTTCTCCTAACTAATTTGCATGCAACTCTTGTATTGGCTGAAGTGAGTCTCCAGAGGGAGACAGTTGTGTATGTGTGTCAAGATTTTTCATTGGCAGATGACCTGGCCAAGGGTTGCCAATTTTCCCAGCTGTATGGACTGGAGGCGATTTGCGGCAATGGCCTCTGTCATTGCTCTTAAAATCTCAAGAGCCAAGTGCTACCATTGCAGCTTTTCCTTGTGCCAAAGCTCAGAAAGGAGATCCATTCCAAAGGGCCAGATCAGGTTCATTGGAGCAGGATTCCAACTGAACAAGGTAAATACCTCCCTCGGGAGCAAGGGGAGCATCAGTTGGAGGATGTGTGTGACAGACAGACACATACACATGCCTGCAGGTTATCTCCTCTTCCGTTGTTCCCTTGCGTCCATTTAATTATTCAAATTTAATTAAAATATCAATGAAGGAAAAAAACTAAGGCACATAAACGGTTTTATCTCTGCCCTGTATCGATATTATGCAAAATCCATATTATGATTATGCATTGTATTGTCTGCAAGTCCATATTAAATGAAACTGACTTTTGAGGAGAAATCCGGATGGGTTTTTTCCTCCTATTTCCCTTTTGGTGGCACTAAAGAGTAGATTTAAAAGTGCTTGGATATGAGTATTTCCTGCACCTGCAAAATCAGGCATCCTTAGTACCATGAACCCAAATACATGGACCTTGGAGGAAGAGAAATTACAGCAAATGTGTTTTATAAAACTCTAGAAAGGATCTTAAACATCTTCTCTGTCTACCTCATTATTGGAATTTTAATGTTCACTGTCCCATGTTCTGCCAAAACTAGGAATACAATCAATTTTTTTCTTCCTTGTCTGTGATACCTGTTTGTAAATCATAGAGAACTATTGCCTATAGGAGCACTACCATTAGACAGTTTAATGTGGATGGAAATAAAGATGTTTGTGGTGGGTTAACTTTTCTTCAGTGGTGACAGCTGTTCCGTTTGTTAGAAGCAATCCATACAGCCAGAGGGTTATGCACAGAGTACGAGTGAGGCCCCAGGAAAATAATAAATGTATTTTATCACATAGCTCTGTACTTTCTCATAGGAGAATCACTTTCATGTAACATGGTGTAGTTATGTAAATGTTGGCGCTGTGTGCGATTTAAAACCTTTCACCCAAAGTTCTCAATCATTTTACAAAAGTTGGTACATTCTATTATCTTAATTTTATGCATGGAGGAAAACAGAGATGGAGAAATTAAGTGACTTACAAAAATTCAAGCAACAAAACACAGAAGTTAGATGTAAACCCCTGAGGAAACCTTGATTCCCAGTCCTGAGCTCTAGCCCCAGTAAATTATGCTGCTTTTTCATTGTATGACAATATTTTGTAAGTTAAATCTTAACTATTCTTCTGTATGTGGGTATACAATGTCTCAGACAACTATATTTTACACATTTAATTGTAAGCCACTGATACTAAAAGTCGTCTTTCCCATGACTGGTTTCATTTTTTTCATCTTTAAAATAAATTTAGTTGTTGGGGGAATAGGATACCAAATCATTTTTCTTTTGTTCAAGCAGTATAGGGCAATATTATGCAAATAATTAGAGATGAAATTCATATATTCCAAGGTCAGAAGGGCAATCATCTCATTTGACTTCCTGTATAACATATGCCATAGGGCTTTCCCAGAATAATTCCTAGAGCAGATCTTGTCAAAAAATCCAGTCCAGATATCAAATAATGAAGTAATGAAGAATCCACCACAAGTCTTGATAAATTGTTCCAGTCGTTAATTACTCTCCTTGCTAACAATGTATGCCTTATTTCCAACCTCATTTTGAATCTTCAGCAGAAGTAGGGATCATCGTCTGAAACTGTAAAACTACCAAATATGTAAGAGTAATAACCATTTTTATCTCTCTACTGTTCATTCCTCAGATATATTATCAAAGTATTTTCATTCTCCTCCTTCTAGACTACTTGATCCTTCCTGGATTTGATGAATCTGGTTACGATCTGACGTTACCTGAAAGAAGCAATCTTGGGAGACTTTGTGCTGCATGTATCCGGGTAATTTGAGAAGCTAACCCTATGTTTACACAAGTAGTTTTCTGATAGCCAGATGCTACTTGGGGCTTACTTAAGCTGTACCTAATGTGCATTAATTCCTAGGCTGCAGGTTCCTTTATGACTGAGAGATCCTGGCAGTCTGCCCAGTATGAGGATGGAAACCACAAAGAACTTTGCTGACTCTTTCTGTGCCATCAGAACAACTCAGCACCATGCACATCAGTTAGTACTAAAAGAGCGGCTCTGTTTGTTTTCATTGAATCTTTATTGGAAACTTCAACATGCACCATAATGCAGTTTCTTTTTTAAAAACACTTAACAGAGCAAGAAACAAGGTGTGGGAAGGACAGAAATATACTTGTCAATTTTCCTAAGTCAGCCTTTCTGAGATTTAAATCCAATTCACAGCTAGTTACAAAGTCTGACCTTTTTTGTCCTTTTCTTTCAGAGAGAAAATGGCTTTTCAATTCTGCCAGAATCCTAGTTATTGTCTCAGACCAGTGGAGTGGAAATTTGAATTTGATTATTTATATTCTAAATCATCTGTGTAAATGCATATTGTATTATCTATAACTTTTTTTAAAGTTTCCAACTCCATCATGATATAGAGGGAATAAGATATATACTCCCAACATACAAAGGTGTATATGGGTGGGGCAAAGGGGTTGTGTGAGTGTATCTATGCCATAGCTTCTTGCTAAATGGGAAATTGGATGTTAGCGAGAGACAGCATGCAAAGCGGCCTAATAAAAGATATAACATTTGGCGAGAGAAAACAGGCTGTTTTATAAAGGGGTTCAGCACCTTTTAATCTGCATGACAATGATCTCGTCTGAGCTTTCCCTTGACCATGCTGAGTTTGTGTCAGTGTCAAAAGCACTTGCAGACACAGTGAAGTGCATTTCCGCTGTGGGCCCCAATACATCTGCAGACCCCTACCATCTGCACTCATTGTATGCTCTGCAACCTCACCAAGCATGCATGGCTAAGCTAACAACTTCACACTCTGTGCTAAATCACATGTGTTGGCTTTAAAGGAGACGATGGTACAAATGGCCCTTTTGAAGAGCAACTTTTTAAAAACTGAATTTTCTTTACAGCTGGTGACTCGAGCTGATGGCCTGGCAGAAATAGATCACTTTTAAATGGAACCTGTTTAGGAATGGGCAAAAAATGGTAAGATTAACCACAATTAAAGATTGTGATTTTTTTTATTTTGCCCATGACAAGGAGATGCTGTTGGGGGGGTTAATGAGTGAGCTTTGTGTCAAACCCTTCTTTTAAAATAAAGCTGTAAATAAACCTCTCCAAATAGTATCTCTACACAACATAGGCTTACATTTGGCCCATTACTGTCTGATGGAGTTGCAAGACCTCTTCTCCATGTTCTGCAGGAGCTATGGTGCCCTCGAAGTGTGTGTCTGGCCTTCTCTGCATGATGCTCTTTGCGTTTTTTGATAGTTTTACTTTCAAGACGGGCAGTTTTGTTGTTGTTACTGACAGTTATAGATCTCCTGGTTAAACCACGAGGGAAAACCTTTGAAGGAAAACTCCCTCGAACCAGCCATGAGTTTGTTTGGGGGTTTTTTTTTTGTCCATCTTCAATCTGTTTTCCACTTTTTAAATTGACTTCACATTGAATATATTTTGGCAGTCATGCTTAGAAGATTGAAAGCCAAATTCCAATTTGTTAGTATCTTTCATTTCTCACCATAATATCTGAGCACTGACCATAGGTGCTTGTCAGAAACAGGCATGGGCTTTTTTGGAGGGTAGCTGGCCGGGGGCGGGAGAGTGGATGGATTTGAACATGGCTTGAGGTATGGTAAGAGCCGAGCTTTTAAGCTTACAGTCACCTGACCCAGGATTGGCTGTTCTGCTCTGCTTACAGATATGTGCTCTTGGAGCAATCTTCTGTTTGGAGAACATGAACAACGAACAGTCACTTGACATTCTGAACTAATTTTTTAGCTGGGTTTTAAAAGGGTAAATTAATTGGACTCATAGTTTGGGTCTGATCAGCTTCTCCTTCCCCTGTCAAAAGTGATTCTCTCTGCCATATCTCTCAAATATCTGAAGCACACAAGTGGCTTAATTAATAACTGGAAAAATAAAATTAAATGGTGCAGCATCCAAAAAGGGGAGAGAAGAAATTCTAGTGTGTGTGGAACATTCCTCCATTTCTGTCTGTGTCCAGCATCTGAATTAAAGACCTTTGTTTTGTGTGGACTGAGCCATGCTCCCATGGAAGCGTTTGCATATGTTATTTTTTTGACAGCTGCCTCTAATTTGATAGATGTGATTAAGGGATTGATTTTAGGATTAGCCATTGTGACTTCTCTGGCCCAGAGGGAATTACAATACTTCTTAGCTCTCTTTGTTAACCAAAAGGCTGTCAAAGTTGTAGCTAGTCTAAGAGGGGTTGCCGTGTTCGTCTGTAACTTTAAAAACGATCAGTTCTGTGCCACCTTAGAGACTAACAAATATATTCTGTCATGAGTTTTTGTAGTAAAACCCAAATTGTAACTAGTTGAGCCCTTTAGTCTTGCTGTCTGTCTTCAGCAACTATACAAGACATTCCTATTGGCCAACCAGCTGCATAGACTGAGGAGCTTGGCTATAATAATCCCATACACTTTCCAGGGAGACAGAGACCATGTCAATTTCTTGACATCTTTTATCCCATTACTCCTCTGTTGTGTTGCATCTATTTTCTGTCTGTATGAATTACCTTTGACAGCCCAGTTAATTATGTGTACTGTTTGCTTTTACTTGGTTACAATTATTGGAGCAGTTATTTAAAAAGAATAATAAAATTGGGGCACTATTTTTATCTTCTAGAATTCTCAGTAAGAGGGTTCTTCTTCGAGTGGTCCCCGTGGGTGCTCCACTCTTGGTGTCGGGTCCCATTCCGGCACCGCGGCTCGGAGAGCTGTCATAGCTGTGCTCCACCAGACCACGCATGTGCAGCGCCTTTGATCAGCCACGCGTGGTCCAGCAACCACTCAGTTCCTCTTACCCGCTCATCTGAAAAAGAAAAGAAAACAATTCCGGAACAGGGAGGAGGGCGGGTTGTGGAGCACCCACGGGGACACATCTCGAAGAACCATCGTTACTTCACAGGATGAGTAACTTCTTCTTTTCACAGCTCCCACATCACTTTATTTCTAACAGGTTTCTCATCTCCATCAGTTGTTACTTTTGTTAAAAAGTTTTGTTTTTCACAAGATTTTTTTTTTAAATTAATATTTTCTGTGTTGCCTTTAAAAAAAATTGATGTCCTGGAGGAATACGACCTGGTATTACAACTTTTCCTCACTTGTGCTCAGATCAGCAACATATTTAAGCATGTGTTCAATCAAGTTCAAGCATTTGTGGGCAAAACCCACTCCTTGCTCATCTGAGGAAGTGGGTTTTTGCCCATGAAAGCTCATGATACTATTATATCTAATTTTTGTTAGTCCTGTAGCACCTTAGAGACGACTCATTGTTTTTAAAGTGATGAGATGTGAGAGTACCTGAAGGGGAAATTATCTATTGTAATGTGAGAACCACTCCATGTTTCTATTTAAAACTTTTGTCACAGTGTCAAATTTGCATATGAATTCCAGCTCAGCAGTTTCTCCTTGCCGTCTGTGTTTGAAGGTTTTTTGCTTGAGAATGTTGTGATACTTACGGTTAATTATTAGAGATTTTTAAATTAAAAGGCTAAGGCAAAACATCATAGAAGTTAGCAATGGAAAAGACTTATTGCGAGATCCATTCCATCCAGTCCTTAATTTGTGCCACGGCTCAGCTCTGGTGCCTCTAGGCTTTGCTGCATCAGTTACGAATATAAACATATTGCTTGAGTTCTTGCCCCCCTCTATCATTACAAATTTAAGCCCTGATTCCATCCATTTATCAATGCAGGTCCCAGGTCTCTTAATTTCTGCTGAGGCCAACCATGTACACATAGCCTGTATATCTGTTTATTAGCAGCTTTTACAATAAGAGCTGCTGTCAGAGATTTCCATCAGTATCCCACAATTTGCATCAAGAATCCATGTATAAACCTTTTTCATTATTGTAGCAATCTGCCAGTAAGCTGTTAAATGCTTGAAATTAACTTGTGTGTTCCTGGGCCCAAGAAATAGCATGACTTTGGTCAATCTCTCACTCCCAGTAAGCATCGTTGGATTCTACAGGCCAACTTCTCAGCTTGCATAAGTTGGCAAATTGGTATGGAAGTCTGAGTAGCTTCAGCCACTTCTACCAACCAAAGACCCCAGGGATGGAAAGAATGTCCTGCTTTAACTCCTTGTGACAAAAGAACTTTAACCCGCTGTAAGATAGCGGCAACTCCCAAAAGACAAGTGGGTATCACTTCCATCTGACCCACGCCAGTTTGCTATCATCCTGGCCCCTGACAAGGACAGGAACTGAGAAGTAATAAGACTGTAGGCACGGTGTTTGAGATGCTAAGCTGAGAGTCACCTGTGTCATGACGACACTATAGTGTGTATGAATAAAGCCTTAGGTTTAAGTGTCTTGCGAATAGTACAACCAGTTTAATAGCATCTGTGGCCCAGTGGCTAGCACACTGAACTGCTGAGACTCAGGAAACCTGGGCTCTATTCTACTGGCTTGCTGGGTGATCTTGGGCGAGTCTCTGCTTTGTTATATGCCTCAGTTTCCCCATCTGTAAAGTAGAGAGAATGATACAGCCCTTCATTGTAAAGTGCTTGGAGATCATCTCATACACAAGATAATGTTGCCTGTTTTCAACTTGACCAGTTCATCAAAGTTCAGGACCCTGGGGATGCATCAGTTGGGAGTAGAAATTGATTGTGTGGTATTTTCTTACATAAGAACAGCCATACTGGGCCAGACCAAAGGTCTATCTAGCCCAGTAGCCTGTCTGCCCACAGTGGCCAGCACTAGGTGCCCCAGAGGGGGTGGACCGAAGACAATGATCAAGCAATTTGTCTCCTGCCATCCTTCTCAAGCCTCTGACAAACAGACGCCAGAGACACCATTTCTACCCCCTGGCTAATAGCCTTTTATGGACCTAACCTCCATGAAATTATCTAGCGTCTCTTTAAACTCTGTTATAGTCCAAGTTATATTTACCTTGCCTTGCAGATTACAGTCAGTGAGTCCCAGTTCTCAAGTTTCCTAGAAACATCTCTCTGTAGGGCCCAGTCTGTTCTTCTATTTAGGGAACTAATAAATAACTTTTCTTTATCAGCCCTCTCCACACCACTCATGATTTTATATACCTCTATCATATCGCCCCTCAGTCTCCTCTTTTCTAAACTGAAAAGTCCCAGTTGCTTTAACCTCTCCTCATATGGGACCTGTTCCAAACCGCTAATTGTTTTAGTTGCCCTTTTCTGAACCCTTTCTAAGGCCAAAATATCTTTTTTGAGGTGAGGAGACCACATCTGTACACAGTATTCAAGATGTGGGCGTGCCATTGTTTTATACAAGAGCAGTAAGATATTTTGTGTCTCTTATTTTCGATCCTTTTCTTAATAATTCCTAACATCCTATTTGCCTTTTTGACTGCCGCTGCACACTGTGTGGAAGTTTTCAGAGAACTATCCATGATAACTCCAAGATCTCTTTCCTGATGTGTCATGGCCAAATTAGCCCCCATCATACTGTACGTATAGTTGGGGTTATTTTTTCCAACGTGCATTACTTTACACTTATCCACATTAAATTTCAGTTGCCATTTTGTTGCCCAATCACTCAGTTTGGTGAGATCTTTTTGGAGTTCTTCAGTTTGCTTCTATCTTGACTATCTTAAACAGTTTAGTATCATCTGCAAACTTTACCACCTCACTGTTTACTCCTTTCTCCAGATCATTTATGAATAAGTTGAACACGATTGGTCCCAGGACTGACCCTTGGGGGACACCACTAGTTACCCTTCTCCATTCTGAAAATTTACCATTTATTCCTACCCTTTGTTTCCTGTCTTTTAACCAGTTCTCAATCCATGAAAGGACCTTCCGTCTTATCACATGACAATGTAATTTACACAAGAGCCTTTGGTAAGGGACCTTGTCAAAGGCTTTCTGAAATCTAAGTATACTATATCTACTGGATCCCCCTTGTCTGCATGTTTGTTAATCCCCTCAAAGAACTCTAATAGATTAGTAAGACATGATTTCTCTTTACAGAAACCATGTTGACTTTTATCAGAGGGGTAGCCGTGTTAGTCTGAATCTGCAAAAGCGGCGAGGAGTCCTGTGGCACCTTATCATATGCATCTGATGAAGTGGGTCTTTGCCCACGAAAGCTTATGCTCGAGCACTTCAGTTAGTCATTAAGGTGCCACAGGACTCCTCGCTGCTTTTGCATGTTGACTTTTGTCCAACAAATTATGTTCTTCTACGTGCCTGACAATTTTATTCTTTACTATTGTTTCGACTAATTGCCTGGTACTGAAGTTGGACTTACCAGTCTGTAATTGCCAGGATCGCCTCTAGAGCCCTTTTTAAATATTGGTGTCATGTTAGCTACCTTCCAGTCATTAGGAACGGAAGCCAATTTAAAGGATAGGTTACAAACCACAGATAATAGTTCAGCAATTTCCCATTTGAGTTCTTTTAGAATCCTGGGATGAATGCCATCCGGTCCCGGTGATTTGTTAACATTAAGTTTTTCTGTTTGTTCCAAAACCTCCTCTAATGACACTTCAATCCGGGACAGCTCCTCGACTCACAAACAACGGTGCAGATTCGGGAATCTCCCCAACGTCCTCAGCCGTAAAGACTGAAGCAAAGAAATCATTTAGTTTCTCTGCAATGGCTTTATCGTCCTTGATTGCTCCTTTTATATCGCGATCGTCTAGGGGACCCACTGGTTTTTTAGCAGGCTTCCTGCTTCTAAAGTACTTAAAAAACATTTTGCCATTTCTTTTTGAGTTTTTGACTAGCTGTTCCTCAAATTATTTTTTTGCTTTTCTTACATTTTTACACTTGATTTGGCAGTGTTCCTTTCTATTTATCTCACTAGGCTTGAACTTCCACTTCTTGAAACATGCCTTTTTGTCTCTCACTGCTTCTTTTACATGATGGTTAAGCCACGGTGACTCTTTTTTTAGGTCTCTTACTATGTTTTTTAATTTGGGGTATACATTTAAGTTGGGCCTCTATTATGGCGTCACTGTGCCTTTTAATTTCTGTTTAACTAACCTCCTCATTTTTGTGTAATTCCCCTTTTTGAAATTAAATGCCAGAGTGCTGGACTGCTGAGGTGTTCTTCCCACCACAGGAATGTCGAATGTTATTATATTATGGTCACTATTCCCAAGCGGTCCTGTAACGGTTATATGGGCTTATTTAGTCTGCAGAAGAGAAGAGTGGGGGGGGATTTGATAGCAGCCTTCAACTTCCTTCCTCCCCCCAGCCTCTCCAAAAAGCAGTCATTTAAGCCTTTGAGAAATTGTATCTCTGCTTCTCTTCCTGAGGTGCCATGTATCCAGTCAATATGGGGATAATTAAAATCCCCCATTATTATAGAGTTCTTTATTTTGGTAGCCTCTCTAATCTCCCTCAGCATTTCAGTGTCAGTATTGCTGTTCTGGTCAGGTGATCGATAATATATCCCTACTGCTAAATTCTTATTATTGGAGCACTGGATTACTATCCATAGCAATTCTATTGAACATGTTGATTCACTTAATATTTTTATGTCATTTGATTCTACATTATCTTTCACATACAGTGCCACTCCGCCACCCACACAGCCTGCTCTATCCTTCCGATATATTTTATATCCTGGTATGATTGTGTACCACAGACTTTCCTCATTCCACCAGGTTTCAGTGATGCCTATTATGTCAATCTCCTCCTTTAATACGAGGTACTCTAGTTCACCCATCTTATTAGTCAGACTCCTAGCATTTGTGTAGAAGCACTTTAAAAATTTGCCACTGCTTATTTGTCTGCCCTTCCCTGATGCATTGGATTCCTTTGTATGCGGTTGGTTGACTTTGTCCTTCTGGGCACTGGAGGGATCGTGGGGAGGGAGCA